TTTCTGAACGTGACAAGTATCTTCCTTTCCTTCACTGTGCACAATGGTTTCACAAATGTGTGCATGTGTTAAAACTCATCAAATGGTATACTTTATATATGCAATGTATCATGTTAACTTTACCTCAATATAGCTATAAAAAACATCCAAGGAAAAATCATTGTCCAGGGGCTGCTCATTGTTCTCAGAATTAAAGTAGGATTCCTTTTAATAGAAAGGAAAAAAATAAACTATAAACTACCAAAAGTCCCCAAGGAAGAAAAAAAAATTCATCTTCACCACCACCACAACAGAGAAAATATGATTTTGAGGTGATCACTATCTAAAAGTCTTGAATTTTTTTTGCCCCATAAACACTTATAACCATACATCTAGCGCTACCACTTTGAGTTCTTTTGAAAACTAGACAAGATAGTGAGCATAAAAATGCTTTGCAAACTACAAAGTATGCTACAAATGCATGATTATCTATTATAATTCATCTTTCTAGATCTGGCACATCATTTCAGTCAGCTAGGTATTTTTAGATGCTCTTTTCAGCATTCCATGTTACTAGTTTCCTCCCTGGTCTCAGGTTCTTTTTCAACTTACTCAGCAGATCATTAAGTCTTTATCCAAGTTACTAATATACATTTGAATAGGTCAGGGTCAAGAATATCTATCATATTCTACTAAAGGATAGTATGTAATATACTATGAGTAATATCCCAATATTCTGTAACTGTTTATTTTGACCACCTTTTCCTATCTTGACCAGTAAGATAAGACACTTTACATTCCTTTGTTTTTCTACTAACACCTACCAAAAAGAGGAAATGAAGTCATTCTAACAGTTCTGATTTAATTAATCCATATTGGTTTCTAATGTTAATTACTTTTATTTTAAAAGTAAATTTTAATAACCCATTATAAAATCTTACTTTATCAACATCAACTTCACTACATTTTGAAAAATAGAATCCACTTCCTTCTGCTTCCTCCCAGAACAGTACATTTGCCTATGTCCAATTTTATAACACTTCTACCTTACAGATACTCCAACATTATCAGTATGAACTCTCCATTATCTCTAAATGGTTATTTATATGTCCGAAGAGACTTTCAGCTAAAGTACCTGAATTCTCCCCTACAATTAGCTACCTGACCTATCTTAGGTTTCATTTCTTTCTTATCAAGAGAATTTTTCCTCTTACTTTTTTTTTCCTTTTCATGTCAGACAGGTAATGTGCCAAGTCGTAATGTGCCAAGGTCTGAGGGAGGCACATCTCATGCAGATGGCATGAACACCCAATCATCACACTCATGAACCAAAGGATCTCCTCTTACTTTTGTATGAAGGTTATCTTATTTGATGAAAACCCAAAGAGGAAGAATGAGATGGACCCACTGTTCTTTCACTGTTATCTTGCTGATCCTATATAATGAGCCTTTGCTATAGAAATATCTTTACAGAATGATTTTGTTTGCCACAGCATTTTTCAACAGTTCAGTTTAGATAATGGAGTTTTCCAAATACTATTTTGATCTTTATTATTCCTTCATGCTTGGGGATTCTGTATTATTCTGACCATCTGTGAGACATACTGCTTTGTAAACTTTACTGCAAAATAGTACCTATCCATTAACCTTAGTATCCATTTTTCTTCACTGTGGGTAATTTCTGAATACATACACTGAATTTCATTTCTGAGAATCTGACTCTTAAATCATTTTCCCAATTACATTTCAAGACTTGGCTCATGAGACAGCACTTCCCTCAATGTCTATGAAATCTGATTTCTAAGCCTGTAGCATGTTTACAATTCTGAACATGACTTCCTTCTTATGCTAAAACAAGCCTTAAGATGACAAATATAACATGTCTTACCCATGACCTCTGTTAGTTTTCCTTTATTAACTTCTACTCATTAAAAGGCAAAAACATGCCAAAGATTTATGATTACATGCTCAGCTGAACAATGTTTTGAGTAGAAAGGTGTTTAGTTGCCATGCTACCCTGTCTTTGTGAATTTTTAAACTCAGTTTGGTTCTTTGTCCTTTGAAAGCTTACAACATCATAAAAAGAACTTAAGATTTACAGCTTACAAAAGACTTCATGCCTAAAATCCTTTTTCAAAACATCCTGGCAAATCCATTCTCATCTCCAAGTAACTCTCACAGGACCAAACCCTCAGGGTATATAACACTTGAATCATCACTGGGCAAATCTGCAGAAGAAAAAGATCTTACTTTCCTAGAACCACTCTAATTTGAAGTGTTCCCTATAGTTAATTTCTTACCTAATTTCTCACTCTAATTTCTCATTTTCTATAGTTACCTCTGCTAGAATATTCCAACTTCAGAAGAGGCTTACATATCTTTGAACAGTCTGACCCACTTTTTATCTAAATGCTCTCTTGCATCTCTAAATATTCCTGACTCTAGGCACCATGCCTTGAAACTAGGACACTAAATATTAGTTCAAAATATCACTACAAACCTCTACCAGGGGTTCCTTATTTTTATTAAGCTTCTACAATTGATTATTGCACCAAAAAAACCCAAACAAATAAAACTGATTATTGTTGAACATGTTTAATATGACATGGATTTAATGGTCTTATTAAATTCAGTGCTCTAATATGTAATTGTTTATGCTTGAGCAGAGAAATTAAGGTCCAAAGATAAACCTCATCCACTTTTTTTTGACACAAGGTCTTGCTATGTAGTCCAGATAGGCCTCAAACTCATGGCAACCCCCCACATCAGCCTCTCCAGGGCTGAGATTACAGGTGTGTGCCACCACACCCAGCAGTCCATCCACTTTTAATCTTATTTCAGACTAGTCCTGTAACACCAGCAGTATTCTAACCAAACTCCAGATCAAAAGTAGAGATAATCTTTATTTTTCTGGTATCTCTAGGGAAGAAATCAGAAGCCTGAAGTCACTATGGTTATATTAAGTTGTCAACTGTGAAGACTAATAAAACAGGATTAAAGTGAAGAGCACCTGGATAAAGGGCCTGATGTCCTACAGATCAAGGGAACAGAGGACTGTAGGTAATACGCCTGGGCAAAAATCATGCAATACCTACAAATTATGGTTTTCAGAAGAGGGTACTAAGTTAGTATGGCACCTGGCTTATCAGACACACGGTACCTATAGTCCAGGTGCCTTTCAGCTGAAGGACCTATCCTTAGATGTGGAGACCTGAGCTGGCATTATGTGAACACCAGAGACTGTGCTTAACACTGAACAGATTGACTGGGGACAGTGCCCTGACCATGGAAATTTTTAAAATCTCTAAATGATTCCAATGTGCACCCAGGGTGAGAACCACTGAGTTTATGAGAATAAATAACCCTTGCCTTCCTCATATTAACAAGTTAATCAACTAGAAATACAAACAAATAGTTAAAACATTTAATGATCCAAGTAGGTTAAACATTCATTACAAATTCTTAAATTTTGTATTTTAAACAAACTTTGATACTTTTAAATGGGGGAGAAGAGGGTTAGACCACACACCTGATTAAAAACTCAAGTTCAGCAGAATGCCTTTCACTCAACATTCCTTCATTAGAATGCAAATTAAGAACATGATATTATAGGAGCCTGGTAGGTGTCAGCAGTCTTTTATACACAGAAGATCAATTCTATAAACTTTCCCTGGCTCAGTATACAGCAATATTCATATTCTAATAATTAGTAATTATTAAATTATCTAAAGGCAAAGTACATTGAATATTAATATCTAAAACCCCATTTATAAAATCACATTCACAATTTTAGTGAAATAAAGCTATGTTGAAATATAAATTTTACCAATATCAAATTCAAAGCTTCTGAGAAAAATGAATCAGAATGTTACATTTTAAAAACACTATGAAAATAATTTGTTCAGCAGGTCATCTTTAAGAAGAAATTTGAAGGAACCAGGGATATACAGCTCAGTGGCACCAAAAAAAAAAAAAAAAAAAAGAAAGAAATCTGATTATTTACATGTACTTTCTGATGGCCCACAGGTGTTATGAAGCATTTTTTCTTCCAATCCAGATGCAATTAATTATTTTACCCTTTCCTACTCATTATCACTTCCTTTGGCTTGAAAAAGAAATTCATTTTTGAAGCAAGATTCAAAATATTCCCAACTCCTACCAACTAAACAGTATTAATGATTTAGTAAAAATGTATACTCAAGGTATGTTGGAAAAATGTGTAGTGTAAAACAACCAAAATTCTGTGGAATTTCTGTGAAACAATGTGATAACTCCTAGATAAAAAAAACCGAGAAAGAGATGTGGTTTCTAATTGCAGTTCTACCATAAACTACCTACATAGCCTTAATTATCTAGTCTCAACACTAGTAACCACCCTGCAATCTGCATATGTATACGTGCACATGTGCAAAAGGGTACAGTGAGACTGAATCTATTCTGGGTCTAAAATTCTGTTTGTAGCAAGAATTAGGAGACTATATGGAATACCATTATATCTTTTTCTAATTTTTCATGTATTTCAATAATCCCAAACATTTCAAAACCTGTGATTACAACTCAGATATATATGGGATTGTAATATCTATAGCAATGTATTATTAATATTAGTATAAATGCTTAATGGAATTCTAAAAATTGCATGTTAATTTAAAAATGTGCTATGGAGTTTTACTTCCTACAACTCCACTCACCTTAAACTCATGTTTCTTGGTATGTCATTATTCTTTCTGTAAAATATATTCACCATTTTCAAAGCTATAGTACTTTTCTTTTGTCATACTTAGATGTCAACTTCTCACTTTACTGATTTACAGAATCAGGAAGGAGAAGCAATTATAGATTTAAATGTAACTAAGCTTATGGAGATCAACAACAGCTTTTTCCTCACCTAACTTTCCAGGACTGAGTAAGAATTTGCTGAAACCATCAAAACACCCACTCAGAGGTACTCTGCAGAAAGCAGGCCTCATATTAGAATGTTTATACTTATTCAGTTTATATGCAAGATTCAAACAACTTACCATTGTTCCAAAAGGAATGGCTCTTGAAGCATGGTAGTAAATGGCTATAAAATTGATGAAGAAGGCAGTACCACACACCATAGCTGGAATAAGAAATGCCCCAATAAACATCTGCTTTATCCATCTCCTTCCTGAAAGAGAAAAAGTATAAAATTAGAGCTAGACAAACACATTTTAATGTTTAAAGTATAAGTATCTAGGACCAAATAATTTATTTAAAATTTTAATATAAAGATCGTAAAGTTTGGTATCCTAAACTTTTGCAAAACAATAGCTAATAATGACCTGTCCAACTTTTCAAGTACCTGTAATAGAAACAGCTTTTGAGGTGAATTACTGCAAAACAACAATGATCTGTCATAAAGTATTTTTGTCCTGATTCTGCAATTGAACTGCTATGAATTTTGAAAGGCCATTCCATCTCTCTGGGCTATAAAATACCCAAATAGGAGTTTTCAAACTATTACTTAGGAGTTCTAGAATTTCCTGACATGCCCATGAAGTCAGTGATAAAGAAAAATCCCAGGTCACCTTGGTCTGCTCAACCATAGTGAGTCTGTTTTCAACAGTTTTACATGTTTGAGTTTCATATAAGCTTTCATTTGAAAGGGATTAGACTGCTTAAAAAAATTTCTTTTTGTTTTTAATCCCTGGGTTAGATGATTTCTAAAATTTACTCTTAGTTCTACAATTATAATTATGTACTTATAAGCATTTCCATGTCTGAAAAGGAAAAAACAATAGAATATGTTTAATGAGATTGATCTCAGGAATCAGAACTATAATTTCATTTTACCTCTAGTCAAATTTCACAGAGCATCTATTATTCAAGTAATCAAAGGAAGAAATATTTAGCTATATTATAAAAACTTTAAATCACATTCCTATGTACCAGGAGAACAGACAGCTGAGCTGTCTTTCTAATATAGCAGAGTGTACAAGCACTGTTGGTGGAAAACATCACCATATAGCTTAGGAACAAAATGTAAAGATTTAAAATTGGATTATTATTAAAACTCAACCCCACAGAGGGCTGGGGATTTAGCTCAGCGGCAAAAGCGCCTGCCTGGCAAGCGCAAGGTCATGAGTTCGGTTCCCGGTACCGGAGAAAAACCAAAAAAAA